CACAGTAGACAGTTACATTGTAGGAATAGGCTGATTTTGACTATTTCATAGATCTTTTAATCCTAAATTGTTAACTTTTTCTATAAATTGATTACTACGTATTTCCTATATTCCGTAGTATAATTTAATTGTTAATTGGAACACGAAAATCGTAACTATTTGAAGAAAAAGATATGGTAAAATACCGAATACGAAATTAATTACACATTTATCAATAATAACTGGTATCAGGCATTCCCTGCGTCGGTCCTCGGCAATCGACAGCCGCGAGCTGCCGTCGCCCCTGCAGCCGCTACTAGGAGATGACACATGCGGAGAAGTGCTTCTGCCAGTTCCCAGACAGCCTTCAGGTAAAACTTTACCCTTTTGACTTGTGTATGTCTCGTCTTTTAACTAAATTACTGAGGCTTTTTTTTCTTGGTTCTCTAGTACAAATACTGTAATTAGGGGGTTTCGTTTGCCGTGTATTCAAGGTTTTATCTAGATCTGTAGCGTGAATGTATATAGGAGAGACAAATGCATCAAGCGACATCTCGCTCTCGCACATGGTGAGCGAGAACTTGCCGCCGCGGCCGTCCATAGTGCTGGACTCGTCGCAGCTGCCGCGCCAGCGCTCCGCCGAGCACCAGCCTCCTGCACCACCTGCACCTGCAAGACCGGAGACTATGTGCTGAGTGAGTAACACACTGACACATCTTCATTCTGTCTGTTTCATCTCTATAAATCGATAGGTAATTGCTTGGAAATTACAGTTTTTGCATCGTTCCGTTAAACGGTTGTTAAACGACAGTTAATTCTATCTATAATAGAATCCACACCACTGCTACATCGCTACCATCAGCGCTAAATGACGAAAATCAAATTTGCACAAAATTTTATATCTTATAGCCAGTACATTTATAGAGGTCAGTGGTTACTGGACACAACGACGTCTAACACACCTCATTCTTGTCCGTAACCATTAAATTATGAGCCAAATTATTCTTCTTATAATGGATTGCATTCCACACTATGTTACGCAGAAATAAAAATCTTGATTTTTAGTTTTTGCCTTGAACAAACTTCTTTATCATGTTGACAGTATAATAACGATCATCATCATCATCGTCATCATCTCACGTGGGGTCTGTGCAGTAGGTTTTACAAAACCTGATACTTTAACTTAATTTTTCACGACCGACCTCCTGCCTGTCGCCAAACCTACTTGGGAGAAATAAATTAATTATCATGTTAATGTAACAAACTAAGTAACAATGAAAAACTTAATTCACAGGTAACTTAATTAGTATAAGAATAGAAAATTGAGATGAATGGAGCAGCCATCAACCAAATAATTCACAATGAGACTGCTCTACGGTTGCGTATTAGTAATAATTTAGGAAATTAATTATTTAAATATAACAACACCAAAAACAACACGAAATTGGTATTTACAAAGCATGTATTATAATTATAAGTTTAATTTTAATTATTACTTTTAAAATGTAATGAAATTTTAAAGTCGTTTTAACAATAATTTCCAACATATCTAATGAAAATATATTTTAAATATTGATGCAACGGTTTTAATATAATTATTTGACTTTCTTAAGTAAATTTAAAATGTTTTTAAATCAGATGACAATTTGTTTTAAGATTTTAAAACAAAACTCTTCCGAACTATCACTTTACCTAAATTAAATTTGACTAGACATTTCTGTGAAGAAATAAAAAAAAATCTTGAAATGTTTTGCAATCTTTCATTTTCCTTTTCTCGAATTTGTAACTTTGAGCAATGGGTTCTATAATAATTTTTTTATAATAAAATATTATACTATTTTATTTTTTTCTTCTAGTAATTTAAAATTGAAACTAGTTGTGTCCATAAAAATCTTTTCATGTAAAATTATATTTAAAAATATACTTCACTTTGATGCTGTAAAAATTTGGCTCCAACTTTTATCTTTTGACAACACTTAAATTATAGACCGACATTTATCTGACCTGGTGGGCATAGACCGAACTAAAATATGACAGCTCACTAGCGCCCCCATGGATATCAAAGAAATGTAAAGTGTCACAAAATCCTTGTTGCTATGTTTTTTTTTCTTTTCCTATGCCATCTTGCTAATATAATAAATGCATTTTTTTTTATAAATGGATACATGAATGTTTATTACTACATATCTCCGGGATACCTAAACAAATCTGTCTGTAATTTGGCATAGATATTGAACATAATCTGCCAGAACACATAGCTTACTAAGTTTTTTTTTTTTAAATTCCGTGCGGATTTGCGGGCAACACTAGAAGCTTATATTTGGTGATGTAAATGCGATAGTAGCGCCTCTCTCGCCGGTTAAGATAAATTTGTCGGCTCTATAAAACATATTTAGTAAAGTAATTCAACGACAATATGCATAAGAGCTCACAATGTAAATATTAACTTGCTGATTGTAATTTAAATAAGAATAGAATAAAAGCTGTAACTAATATTTCGTGATGAATTAAACATGACGAGAAATTAAGAAAAACCAATAAAAAATAACATTTCTTTAAATAAATTTCAAATATAATTGACATATCAGTAAAATTTGCAAATAGATTGAAAAAAAATATTGTGCAATTTATTTAAAAAACTAAACTTTTAAAAATAAAACTTTAAAAATTATATTTGACCAATAAAATTAAGCATTTTTACCTTTGGTTTCTGACATCAAAATCTCTGTATAAAGCATATCGTCATCCCTGTCATTATCTTAGACAAAATAGAGCCAACAATATTGTATTTTAAAGAAGATTTTGGACTCAGAAACCCACGGTTATTGACGTTGTAGTAAACCACATCAATATTTTAGTTATAGGTTTATATTAAATAGCTTAGATTTATAACAAACAATTTTTTTAATGTTTTAAGGCAATACAAATTTTCAAAATGTCCGTTTAACATGTTTTTAGTACTGAAAAAGTTTACTTTTTTGCTTAGTAAAAAACGTTTAATATAGTTATCTATTGATATCCAAACCCAATAATCGATTTTGGATAATTTTTGCTTAACTAAGGCATTTTTTTTATTGCCTGTATTTTATTTAATCTAAAGGGCGATCTATTTTGTATTGCAAGCAATAGATCATTGAAAAATCTTCGGATGTATCTTAAAGATTAATTATTAGGTTTGGACGAGATATTAAATGCATAAACATAATAGCCTAGTTAATTTTGAACCTAGAGAAACTACGGGACATCACAATGTGTTCATTTATACCAAATATTTTGTGCAAGTTTTTTACAATTTACGGACAATGTTACGAAATAGTTTTCATTTTTGTATATAATTGTAACACAATGATGTGGCTTTATATCTCGTAAAGGTTAATAGGAAATAATTATCTATCTTATGTAATAAAATCGCTTTTACAATGAATTAATCAATAATTTCCTTCATATCATTTTTTAAAATTTTAGAAATTTAAAAAAGCAATAATAATTTATTAAAATAAAACGTATTATTATGTTAAAATAAAAATCCCATTAAAATAATAAGTAGTGAATGAAAAGGCATTTTTAATTTTGTATGTCTTCCTTTTTATTTATAATCTGCCTGCAAATTTAAATTAAAATATTTTTGATGGTTACTAAAATGCTTTTTAAATTACGCACAAAAATAGTCTTGTATTATTTTGTTTGGTACACACTGGCAACACTGGCATACGTATGATTTTTAAAAATTTGAAAATAGAACCATCAAAAATATTTTTTACGATGCATAATCTGTTATTTGTACCTAAAAAAAAGAAAAATTATGTCATCCAAACAAACTGGCCAGTAATGTACAAAAGAAAAAGTTTCAAACCTTCTTGTTAGTTTTTTTTCCACAATTACTTGCAGGTCATAAATTTACGATATTTATCTAGTAGTGGCTATTATTTTGAACTTAAACATAACCTTAAATTTAATTATAAGATATTTTAATTATAAATTAAGACATGGTAGTGTTGTTTTGTACCAAAAGTATTGATAAGGCCGAATAGATTTGCTTTGGTCGTTTATTATAAATGCTAGAATTATTTTATCACAGCATTAAAGATAACCTAAAATGTATTCGTGCAATATTATTTTAAGTAGAGCATTAACGGATTTTTTTTTGTAATTTTTTGTGCTTGCAACATTTTTGAACTGTCAACAGATTACTGAAGATTTTTTTTAATTTAAATATTATAACCTAATGGCAAATATGTTATGATAAAATAATATTAGCTTTTAATAATTTTACTTAATGAACCTTGCTTTTATATGTTTTGAGTATTAAATTGTTTATCCTTATTGGGATGTTTTACATCTTTTAACAATATTTTCGAGTGATTGTTCCACTTCGTCTGTGTTATGTAAACATTATTATGTACAATAATATAATAAATATATTTGTGATATTAATAAAGTAGTTTTATTTAACAAAAAAAAGGTCGCCTCTGCCTAACGAAATGTAAAAAAAAACTAGAAATTAAAGTCTTTTATTACTTGATACTATTTAGTAACGATAGTCTTATTTTTTTATTTATAAAATACTAGCGGACCCGACAGACGTTGTCCTGTCTACACGTCTTTAATTTGAATAAATTAATATGAAGTTAATATTTGATGAAAATTATGAATCTAAACCATTCCCAGATCCCCTTTTTTGTGTGTGTTCAACACACAAAAAATTTCATCAAAATCAGTCCAGTCGTTTGAGAGAAGTTCAGTGACATTCACACTCACAGAAGAATTATATATATAAAGATTAGAAGATTTTTCTTAGAAATTTACTAATATTTCTTTTTACCATTCCAACTAAGCTCTAGGCTTGTGCTAGGATATGGTTTACAATAGTCGAATGACGGGATTCAACAACCATTACGATATTGACGCTTCAATTAAAAATTATCTTCTCTTAAATACAAAATCTAGTAACATCACATGAAAGTGATAAATAAATTAAGTAACAAATACCACAATTACTTATTATATAAATAACTAAAAAGTATTCTGCCCAAGAAAACTTACCTTAGGGTATGTTAACTTCAAACTTATTAACCACCGCACAGGTTGTGGGCAAGCTCCACTGTTAAATGGATTAATCATTACTTGGAAATGCCAGCTTTTGTTTCTTTCCGACTAAAACGCGTCTGTTCAACTTCGTGACAATTAATTCAACCTTATTACCGTGAGTTTCCGAGTCCAAAATATCTGTTAAAACACATTTTATCTCTGCGTTGTCAAATGACATGATGATATGTTTTATACATATTTTGGTTTTAGAAACCCACGGTTATTAGTTCGAATCCTCACTACAACCAACAGCACGCACATCTTTCAATTCTGAATGTTAAGTACGTATGTGCTGCCATCTACAGCAGATTAGAAAAAACTACGAACAGCTGAAAATTATTCAATCGTCGCTACCGCAAATTCACCGACTATTTTCTTGGTCTAGTATTTTTCCTGGAACCTTTGATTTCCTTAACTATATAATGACTTGATTGAAAGGATCCGTGGTGGTGATGACTGATGAAGAGTTGAGGCCATTCATCTGCGCCTGGTAAAGCGCATCATTGATCAACTTTTCAGCTAATATCCTCATGTTTGGAGGTAGATTCCTTAGTTTTGCTGCTACATTGATACCTAGAGACATAAAAAGTAAATGTCAAAACTTATGCACGAATTGCTATTATGTAAGTGCTGCCATCTAATGTAAACTCCCATCAACAATGGATGAATGGATGGATGGATGTTTGTTAGAAGGTATCTCCAGAACGACTGCATGGATCATGCTAAAATATGGCTTATACGCAGAACGTAATCATAAAAAAACAGTATGGAAGAACACATAGTCTAATTAATTTTTTTATTAATTCCGTGCAGACGAAGTAGCGTACGACAGCTAGTAATAAATAAAAATATTGAATTATTGTCTCAAAAGTGCTCTTAAATTTTTTACGGATGTTTTTAATTGTTCTTTAGTCCCCAGAGAGCTGTTGAAGAAAAACAATTAGTTATTTTATTCACCTTTAGAGTATTATTAAAGATATAATTTACGCAACACATTTACACTACTATCTGATTAATTAAAAGGAAAACAAAAAGGTTTTAAGCAAGCTATTTCGAGTCTACCTCAAAATAGCCAAACATCAGGCCGCTTGTTCGTTGCCATGTTATACCAAAAAAAAAAGAAAAAATTACCTATAGCATCATATTCATCTTCTATCTCCGTGCAGTGACGTTTGCTGCTCTTGTTGTCATCTTCGAAGGAAAGCTGGTATCTCTTGTGGTCCTCCACGTTCACCATGTTGGCAACACTGTACTCAGGATATGTCTCCATCGACTGCTCGAATGGTGGACCCTCTTCATCACCATTATCGTGGACAGCGTCTTCTGAGTTCTAGATAAAGATGTACTATGTTAGGAAAATTCGAAGAAAAGTCCCACATTTTTTTCGAAACCAATAATTGACCGCAATCCATTTTCGTCAATTTTAAAGGGCGATCGATCTTTTTTGTGCTCCTAATCTAATCTTTAATTAAGGATTCCTTAATCTTTTAAGGAGTTAGGTTTAATGATCCATATTACATAAACATGACTCTTAATGTCTAAATTCATAGAGTCGCATTTGCTATAGGTAAAATCAAAAGTCTTAGCAACTCGGCAAATCGCACGAGTCGCTGCGCAGAACATATATTTAGGTGTAGCGTGGCGTAAAAGGATGCGGGGGAGGGCACTGCGCAGCTCGCAATGGCCTTGAGCCGATAAAAAAGTTTTTTATATTTACTGTCTGCTTTGCCGCGACGCTAACGCGAAGGCACAATTCTAACCTAAAACGGAACGAGTTAGCATGAATCTCCTCCATCTCCTTGCTATTGCCCCCTACAATCTATCTGGCACCTCAAGGCCAGCTTTCACACACACAAAACACTTTCAAAGTTTAACTTAGTAATAACAAAAGATACATGTATTAAAAATAAAAAAAAATTAAGCTCGATTGTATGTAAATAGAAAGGTGACGTAAACATTATAATCGCGCGAGTTTCATTGGAGTACAGTTTACGAACCTAACATAACACACATGGAACCGGCACCGGCCCGCACGGCTGTGCGCTTCTCCCCGCATCCCTTTACATACCGCCAACACCTAAAATTGTAATATATATACGAATTGTTATTTTAATAAAACAAATAATATCTAATGGCCGTAGACTCGTACCTCGTTCTGTTCGTGTACGGTTTGTGTTTTCTTGTAAACATCTTCGATTTCATCATCGGGGAACACGAAGGAGAACATATCGTAATACCAAAGCATCGGCTTGTAGATGCCATCGGTGCCGCCGGCCGCGACCCTGAGTCGGCTGTCTCGCACGCGCTTGTGTTCCCGCCGCACGCACGCGCGCAAGCTCTCAATCTTACGCAACACGTGTACACGCGTCGCGCTCGGGTCGTGTTCCTGAACAAGTTGAGTCAACTTTGATATCGCCTCGTACCTCTTCTGTTTCTGTTTATACGATGAGCAATTCTTATCCCATAAACAAGGATGCTCCCTGTACATAGCTATCAATTTTTTGAGCAATTTGCGCGGGAAAACAACGGAGCCTTCTTCCATGTTTATGGCGCGCGGCAAGCGGCGCGGCGCGCAGGTCACTGGACTTGGCCGCGAGCCACGCGAGCGAGCGCGCTCCACTCCCCGCCCCGCGCCGCCTCGCCCCCTCACCCCTTGGTGTACTCATCGAGCCGCGACGGAATTCGTCTACAGTTTTTTTTTTAATCTTTTTGGATGAATATAAAATCTCTACAACTTAAAATAAACTTTTATCATTGTTAACAATTAAATTTTTATAAAAGTGTCGTAGAAATTAATTTTAATAAATCGCTAATAGCCCAAAATGCGTGCGATAAGTTCTAGAGTGAGTTCGAATCCCACATTCACCAAGTCACCTTGAATATATCCTAACCTAATGGTATGGACCTATACTAACATGATATTAGTTATTCATAAAGAAAGAAGTAATAAGTAATTTTAGATATACACATCTTTGCCCCAGGCAGTACAAAACAATACGAGAAATTTATTTCATTTATCATATTCTATCGCGACTTAATATACGTGGTTATTATTATTTTTACTCAAAGAAAACCACTTTTCTATATTCCCCGAGGGTTGAGACTTCGAGTCACCGCTTTAATAACTATAAAAAATAAATTTAAGAGCGGTCCTTTCTTTTGTGTGTGTAAATTGACAAAAATTCCACAGCCAATGTCAGTGCGAGTATCTGTCGATCATAAAATACGACGTACACATAATCTATTATATATATGTATATAAAAAAAAAGTCGTGTTAGTTATACTATTTCTAACTCAAGAACGGCTTTACTGATATGGTTGAAAATTGGTGGGGAGGTAGCTTAGAGCCAGGAGACGGACGTAGGATACTGTTTATTCTTTTTTTTCGAATGTATTCCTTGAAGAGCTGCTTTTTATTTCATTTATTAAGTAAACTAGCTGTTACCCGCGACTCCGTACGCGCGGAATTAAAAAAAATCTTAATTAGTAGCTTATTTGTTCTTCCAGACTATGTTCTGCATCTATGCCAAATGTCAGCGAGATCCATGCATCCGTTCTGGAGATACCTACAAACAAACATCCATTTATATTAGTAAGATAGTAAGAAGTAAGATCAGCCTATGTGTTTTGTAAACTATGTTCTATACTCCTGGCAAATTTCATCGAGATCTCTCGAGCTCTCTTCACAGGCAAAAATTGCGAAAAAAAAAATAATTTGACTCATACTCTTCTTTATAGCAAAAGACTGCATGCATACTTAAATTACTAGTGAATTATGTATTATGAAAAATAACAACTAAAGACTACGTGACAAAAACCTGAGCCACCCCCCCCCCATCCTGTGACTGACCGTAGTATTTTAAGGACTCCGCCCCCCCCTCTAAACGGGTTACGTAGTATGGGTACGTTCCCTAAGCTACTTTTAAATGTTTTATTATTCCGCGCGGACAGAGTCGCGGGCGACAGCTAGTGATATATATTTTGCCGCTGCCGAAACAGCTATACGAAACCTTTTTGTCATCTCTCTCATGATCGTAGAGAAAACAGAGATAGAAATTATGTTTTAATGATACTACGCCAGAGGAATCTCATTGTTAGAATACTCGTTACCATAGTGCATGAATGCGTCGACGAAATTAAAACTTATCTCATTTTTGTTCAACTATATTAATTTCTCTCATGACCTATTTTACGTGATGCGATATTAATTCAACAGAGGGCGCTGATTTCATAAACGAGATACGTGAGAAACTCCGCTAAAACACTGTTAAAACTCGCTAAATGCAACTTTTAGCACGTTTAATATGCCAGCGATATAATTTTAACCCTTGCATTACGCTTTTATCAATTAGAGAACACATATTTTTTAAAATACCAGTAAGTTTTAATGCATATTTAACTTCTACAAATAGAGAAAAAAGAGATGTTAACTGTCGAAAAGAGTCGACCAATGGTGACTTAGTTTGCTCTTAGTGCAAATTTCTCACACAAAAATACCGTGGGTTGCCGAGACGAAAGTCTCCGTTTAAAATATTCATCTCTGTTTTGTCAAAGGTAATAAAAATGATGACGATATTTTTATACAAAGATTTTAGTCTCAGAAACTCACGGTTAGAGTGAGCCTTGAATGTTTTTAGAAATATATTTGCTTAATATTTCCAGTCCTCCAAGAGTAGATATTAAAAATAAACATATTAAAGAATTTATTTCTACATTAGCTTTTCTAGCCCGACGTCGTCAGAGTAAATTTTAATATTGCAAGTTAATAGTATGAAAAAAAGTTCCATTGCGTCAGAATGAAGCATAGTTTTGTAAGAAAACAATTATAATAATAAACTATATTTTAGTAATTTTAGTGCACTTTTTATTGTCAATAATGAGAACACACAAAAGCGTGTTTCTTTTATTTTCCTGGTCATTATTTATATAAAGGGTGACCTAATTGTAAGGGTCCGGCAACAGTTACTTGTGTGTTCAGCCGTGGAAGCCCGGCCTAATTGAAACGTCAGCTTAAGGGTTAAAGTGGGTTCTGGTTTGTGTGTTTAGGTGAATAGCGACTTTGGAAAACCTCTAGTATGTTGCTAAATAAACTATGAAGAAAATCTTAACATACATTTTGTGTTTTATTTTTTAATATTTTAATTGTGGCTTGAATACGAGGATACTTAAGTAAAATCCTCTCATCTCATCATCATCAGCTCACTATACGTCCCCACCGAGGGGCTCGGAGCCTACCCTATGTTAAGGGTGATTAGGTCATAGTCAACCACACTGGCCAAGTGCGGGTTGGTTGACTTCACACATATCTTTGAATTTCTTCTCAGATATGTGCAGGTTTCATCACGATGTTTTCCTTCACCGTAGGAACGTCGGATAAATGTACATATGTAAATCGGAAATCGAAAAAAACACATTGGTACATGGCGGGATTATTGGACTCTCATCTAATATTGGGTTATTACTTAGCTATTATGATTGGAAATGTTTAAGAATAAAAGCGGAGTAACTAAAGATATAGATGATTTTAAAGTAAATAACAAGACGATGTCAAATTCTTAAAATTCTTAAGCATATGCAAAAATGAGAATTATATTAAAATAGGCAGACTTCCAAAAACACAAACCATTCGGAACACCTATAAGAATTCTTGCTTTTCAAGCAAAAATTACGCTAGCCGTGCCAAATTAGGTAAAAATGAAAATTAAATTTTATTAATAATTCGTATAAAATTTAATTTTAAATTTTAATTTTGTAGCCAAGTATCACAGCAATTTTATGAATGAGATTTAATTTTTAGTTTGACGTAAAGTTGTTTGAAATTTTATTATATATTGAAAAATCTTGCATCTTATTATTTCTTAACACTAGAATCGTATAATAAACTCTTAAAAGAGAACATCTTTACCTGTAACTAAGCATCTTACATATACTTAACATTTGTGCCGGAGGCCTAATTAAGTAGAGAAAGAGGAAGTAGGAAGTTTAACGGACTAGTCGACGCAGAAGAAGGGGAAATATTCTCTTATTGAACGTCCCCTTCTCTGTCGATTAAAGGTAAGCAACGCATCTGCAATTGTGGATGTCTATGGGTAGCAATCGCTTCGCTATTTGGGCGAATTCAGATGACCACTTTCTCGTTTCCCACTTTATATTATACAAAATTGTATGCAGAAATATAAGTAACCTTCTCTGGGATATAAAAACATATCACGATAGCTAAAAATTATATTAAAAATGTTTATAATATAAATTATTTGATTGCGAGCGATGTACAAATTTAAGACAGCCATCAACGGAACTAACGAAACGCACTCGACGCCGCAGAGCATTCATTATGAATAATTAAAAGTATAATTATAATGCACTTTAATTATATTTAAAATTAAAATTTTAATAGCCATATTAATTTCATCTGAAAAATCTCTCATTATGTTGTGCTTTCATCCTTTAAATTAATCTAACGTAATTTTAGTCGTCACAATATAGATCGAAAATATATCTGTGGGCCAAGCACGAATATTTGTGACACATTTGTATCGTTATCGTCAATTATGTCAAAATTAGTATAAGATTTTTAGTAGCCCTATCGGGCGGGGGGCGCTAGACAAATTTTAACGCATTTTTTTTCGATAAAAATACAGCGGTGATTGTCACAAATATTTGTGCTGGGCCCGCTGGGAAATGACCTCTATAAATCGATAATTTTGTTTCGTTCCGATTTAAAAACCATGTTACGTGACAGTTAATTCTACCATCAGCGCTAATAACGCAAAATGGCGACAATCAAATAAACACAAGGTACTATGTCTTATAGCCAGTCCATTTTGAAGTCAGTGAACCCGGCGGGCATAAGTCCAACTAAATTATATTTTAAAAACAAAATACTACTTGTATCTCAATGTTATAAAGAGAATGATAAAGGTGGTCTCTGTACGTGTTTCGACAGTGCAAATCCAGGGTTACAAGCAAGCTATACAAACGCTATTAACCCAAAGTTTAGTACAAAATAGTTTTGTTTTTATTGAACCCCGCGTAGCTCCAATTTTCAATAGATAACGTTGTTCCATTGTACACTACAGTACTGCGGGTTTACAAAAGACAACATATTTTTACTCTTTTGTGTTTCTATTCTTTTCAAAACTGGCATGCTGCGGTTCAGATAATTTTCAGGATTAAAAAAGCATAAGAATTGTCCTTTTTTCCAAGCTAAAGTCTAAGTGTCAACAATAGAAAGATCGCGGATTGTACGCTGAAAAAAGGCAAGCGAGGAGAGTCTCAACTATCCCATAATGTTTATAGTTTTGTGGTACACTTTAATAAGAAACTATAAGGTTAAAATCTATACGTACCCTTCTAAAGCACTGCTAGTTTACAGACTATTGTATTAAGATAAAAATTTAGTTTTATTCCTTGTAAGAAATCGAAGTCTCGAGTAATAAAAGAGTTTACAACCTAACAGCTATTGAATTAACTATTGATTACTAATAAATTACATCGTAAAACTGTGTCTCGCGTGAAATCGAACATTATACTATCTATAAACAATACTTTAATGTATACTGAACTAGCGATCTCCCGCGACACCTTCCGTATGGTGTTAAAACATAATTAGTGGTCTATGTTCCAGACTACGTTCTATATGTATGACAAATTTCATCAAGATCCGTTCAGCCTGGAGATAGATTTAAACAAACATCCATCCATCTAAACATTCACATTTTAGTAGATTTAACAGATAATCTCTTCTTTAAGGCGATGGCACATTTTCTCACAAATACACTCCACCATGATTATGGGTTAGTGCTTTAATATATTCTTATGTAGTGTTTTCAAATTCATATAGAATATGTATTAAGTGCACTTTCACGCATTTTTTCTTGCTTTATTTCAATGCCAATAATTTTTAATCATAACTAATAGTCATAAATTTGAATTAATTAAAAAATATATTTCTGTCTTACCTTCGTACTACAGAAAACATAATTTTGTAGTTACAGATTAAATAAGGCGCGGGCACAGATTATTTATACAAATGTAACGTGTTCCGTTTTAATTAAATTAGGATTAAATTGTTAGCGAAAAATCTTATTACTGAAATTCAATTTGAAAAGGCTTTTTGAATATTTACTCAAGCGAATTCTTCGTAAATTGATGTTTGCCGATTCTCTTACAGATTATTTTGACGATAAGATAAATTACATTTAGCTTAACTTGAAATTGATTCAAAGCAAGCTCACTACGCTTTACATGACTGTCTATTCTAGTCTCGAGGGTCCCGCGACTCTGTCCACGCATTATTAAAAAAACTTAATTAGTAACCTTTGTGATCTTCCACAGTATGTTCTACATCTATGACAAATGTCAACGAGATCCATGCAGCTGTTCTGGAGATACCTACAAACATCTATCCGTTCATCTAAACATTCGCATTTATAATATTAGTAAGAGTAAGATGAAACATGATTTAAATATTCCTCAAATATATTTAAGAAGTAGACCATTTATTACTAAATTTAATATCGAAATTGAATAATAAATGCTTTGAAGTATTTTCAGTAAATTGGATCCGTTATAAAGCTTTCAAATGTACGAATGAATTCTTTATTTTGTTAATATAGCCGTTAGAATTTTAATTCGGTTCTTTATATTGTAGTCTATTTTTTTTTGTAGATTTTTTTACATTAAATATGTGTGTGTGGCTTCAAAGTTTTTTTATAATTTATTCACGCAATCCCCATCTAATATGAACGAGAATTAAGATAGTGTGTGTAACGTTTCGTTACATGAGAGAGAAGACACAATATAGAAAGGATTAGAAAGGGACATATTATTTTAATAAATAACATATAGATGCGGGGCTATACAAAGTGCATTCCTTTCGAAGAGATTCCATAATGAACTTTAAATAAATTTGACAGTATCTTTCGACAGATGGGGTCTGCAACAAACGCCAATATTCATTATAAAAAATAAAGATTTGTTAAAGAAATTTTACCGTAGTTTTAAGTTGTTAGCATTTTCTTCGTGTAATAAATAAACGGGCAAAGAGGTATCCACGTGTCGCCTAGACATTAATGAAAAAGGACAGGCGATGCTGCGCGAGCCTCATTAAACTTACACGTGCTCGCCGTCGTCACTCGTGTTCGACTCTACCTACTTAAGGTACATTTCCACTGAGACTGGGCCTGGTAAATAAAATGATCTCATTTTTCACTTGTGTCTTATTTATGTGTATTTTTTAAGGGACGAACAGATCCAATAATTTTTATAACGCTGTCTTGAATATGCCTCATTGTGTAGACCTTTTCCGAAGCTCTATGTTACAATTTAAAATTTTTGATATTATCTAATGAAGTTTGAGACTATTTACAGTGTTTGTTTCGAATTAATATTAAATTTTAACCGTTCGTACAACTTTAACATGAAGAGCGAACTCGAAATTGGAATTCGGCCAAGAAACGATTTTCTTCGAGCACTTTACGAACGATTGGTTGACCTAGAATGGAAATAAATCTACGAATTATTATAGTAATTTTTTTTTCTAATAACCTATAAACTACTTAATTATTCAGGTACCAAAACCAAAATATAAAGAAAAAAACGAAGGCAGCCAGAGGAGAAAAGTAGGAGTTTATACTAAACTTACACCAAATAGTGACCAAAGACAATAGTTTGACAAAGTAAAATTTTAAAATAGCAAGCATTTTACAATACCTAGGTATATTCAAGTGTAACTGCCGAGCACGATCTCAACATGAACATAAAAAGAAATAATGTTTTTAATTTTTAGCTGGCAACACCCATAGGACAATTTGAATTTGACAGATGTCTTATTGTTTTAATTTTAGGTTAGGAATTCCAAAACTATGAAACCGTTTTAATATTTGTCTCCAAGTAAAATGAAATATAATTGCTTTATTTATAATAATAGCATTGTTAACTTTTCGATCAATTGCTATTATTTATCATGCAGATAAATTTGATATTATCTGTGATTCTAACAATCGCCGTCTTCGGCATACAAATATCCTCACATCCAGTCCTTATGCACAATATATTGGTACATTTCCTGAAACCTGTAAGCAGATGTCAACAAGAGGTAAGCACATCTAATTCATTGAAAGTTTTGCCATTTATAAATAATTGATACTGTTAAAATCAGTAAGTATATGATCTTGCCCCCTTTTTTTGCTCATCCACGGTATTTTTAATTTACTTGAATCAAATTTAAGGAATCCAAAGATCGCAATATTAAGATATGATAATGTTTGGAATGCGATCAAATAATTTTGTTATTCCGTTTCATACAAAGTAATTAATACAGATTTCAAACTGAACTCATCCATTGAATATTAATTTTGGCATAAATCTAATGATCGTTCAATCAAATATTGAACAGAATTTGGCAAATTGCTAAATTAAATGAGACTATAACGTATATTAGTTTCCTCTTGGGAATTGTCTGTTGAAAGTTGGAATGTATGGATAGATGGATGTTAGACAGTATCTCCACTCCGGCTTCATGAATCTCGTCGAAATTTGGCATATGCTTCTAAATAAGATATTTTTTATTCCGCGCGGACGGATTTCCGTGAGACAGTTGGTCAGAATTATAATGAACTAAACTATCCAGATGGGTCTTCCCGACACTATATACAATGATTTCTACAACTTTTGGTCTGAAGACTACGTGATCACCAACAACGCAACAGGTTGCGCGTTCATCTGTATAGCGGCACGACTTAACCTCATCGTCAACGGACCCAATTCGCACATCAACTTGAACACTTTCTTCCAATATAGCAGAAAGCGTGGCGCTGGTATGTTCACGTCTTTTTGTTTTCCTAAAGAAAAATTTTATCTGTGATGTATTTACCTCTTATTTTGATTTAATATACCTCAAGATATGTCTAGCACACTCTAAACCGTCTTGATCTCGACGCACAAGGCCGTCAGGATCTTAGTATTAAAGCTTCTTCTTAGGATTGTAGGCACCTTCGTATTTCGAAGTAGATCTATTTATCTGTTAGTAGGTGAAGGAGGGCAGCTGCCTCAATCTGCCTACCTAGGTGATGGTGGTGTGGCCTCTTTTTTGGTCTTTTTCCTTACCCTACATGACTATTACGACTAGCTACTTTAATTATGACTTTATTTGCAGACGATCAAACCGCAAAACGACTCTTGCAACTTTTACGATATTGCGAGGGACAGAGCCGAGATGAGACGGACACCTGCATGCGAGTCGTGCATTGCGCAAACTGTTTCAGAAGGGAAATACACGCTCTCAACTGGGCACCAAAAGTTGAGGAGATACCATGATGAAATTGCAATGTTTTCGTGATCATAATGAGTGACCTGACCAAAGGTTTACAGTCTAGTTCACACGACATGTCTAGATTGTGTTTGTTTATCGCGAGTTTCTGATCCCAATTTTCTCTTCATCCCATCCCATTGGTATATGACAAAGTAGTTTCAAAAGCAGTCAATAAGTTTTACGATTTGAATTTAACAATATTCTTCAAATGAAATATTATGGGATGTTCAAGATGAAAATGGAAGCCGTAAAATGGTTATAACGTAAAATTTTAATCTGGCACTTTTTAACGACTTTATTTTTATTGTGTTGAAAATCTTCGTCTAATATATATTCATAAATACATATAGTAATATTAAATTAAAATAAATCTAAATACACAAGAACAAATTGTTTTCATGCGTCTATTTAATATTTCCTTAATAATAGAGAAAATTGTTTCTAATATTTATGAGTTCCGAGTTATTTCTCCGATGAATAGTTCCGAATTTTATTGCTTTTATAATAACGCGGATATCCAACAGCCCGGGGCCTGTCAACATTGATTACAACTTGAAATTGGTTTCAATATAACCTAAAAACAGTTTGCATTTTGAGTTGGAAGCCAAATCTATGTTTATGACGTAGGTACTTTTGGAAAAGTGTTCCGTTTTTTTAATGCTCAATAAAAAAAAACATGTAATCCAAACGTTATAAATTACAAATCTTGCTAATGGTGGCACAGATGTAGAACATAGCCTGGAAGAACACATAGGCTACTACAACTACTGTAATTACATTTTTTTTATTCCGCGCGGATGGAGTCGCGGGCGACAGCTAGTATGTGTATAAATAAAATGTGTCTGAGGTATATCGTGAACTCTTTGGTCACTTTATTAAATTCTGTCTAGACGAAATCCTCGACCGATGTATTCATCTTGCGCAGACATATTTGATACCTGGGTAAAGTCCACATTTTATTAAGATCTTTATATTTTCAGGTATAGAAAACCTTTCAATCAAAACTTCAGCATGTTTGAAACTCTAATAAAAAAGATCGTAAATGGATTGTCTATCGACATAATAGTCTGCATTCAATTTGCGCTGACTACAGTTTGCGAGGCACTTTGTGCTACTAAACCAGAGATTCACAAGTTTTTTTTTCGTAGATCCCTTTCAAAATTTTAATAATTGCCTCGATTCCTCTACATGTCTTATTGATATCAACTTTATTTCATGCTAACGCAACTCCGCGTTTCTTCTATGGTCCCCAAGAATGTACTTGGACCATTTTAACTAACAGAAATAATTTAACAAAATTCAAAAGTCACTGCACTTAAAGCTTGTCTGTAATACTTTGATTACTAATTAAAGACATAATTAAAAAGATAATAAATCTCTATAGTTTAATCAAAATAATATAAAATAAATTTTAAATAAATTCTATCGAAATGTTGAATAATTATCTTGACACCAGTATGAAATCCTCATCGTTTTTAATAAAACGGAGTTATATTCTTAGTTGTCACGAGTTTAAATCAAAGATTAGTAGTACTTTCTTCTAGTACGACAAGAATGGTCGCATCGGGTACATCTTCTTGTTCGTCTGTTATATTTTCTTCGTAAAGTCCGTTCTGATCTGACAGTACGTTTCTCACAGATAAATAATCTACGATTTCTCTTTCTCCTACGTCCTTTAGGTCCTAATTCCAAAGAAATTGGTATAAATCCTTTAGCAAGTTTTGCTAATAAATCTTTAGCGTTTGTTTTACATTTTCGTAATAGAATTTGACGACCCCTTATTAATTCTTTGGTTATTATTGAATTTACTTTACTTGTACTAGCGTGGACTGCAGATTCCTTTCTTTCAGGTGTTGCATCAACATGACCTGGTGCATCTACGTTTTGGTCTATAGTTTGTGATTGATCTGTTTGTTCTTGTGGAACAGATATTTCATTACTCTCTCTAATTTCTTCAACTTGCATTCCTTGATCATTATCGATTTCAACTGCACTTTGTTCCATTTAATTCGAATTTATTTAATATGATATAATTTAATAAAGCTATAACTTACAAAAAATACAACACGTGTCCAATATTTTGATGGTCATTGTCACTGTCATTTATGTCTTTCTAATTTGAAATAAGAACATCGAAAGTTATAAGAATATTTTTTATTGAAATAGAAACGGACCAATTGTCTTAGCTTACTAATACTAGCTGTCACACGCGACTCCGTCCGCGTGGATATATAAAAAACGTAATATATAGATAATAAGTTAAATAAAAAGCAGCTCTTCAAGGCATAATTTCGAAAAAAATTAATAAATAGTATCCTATATCCGTCTCCTGGCTCTAAGCTACCTCCTCACCAATTTTCAGCCATATCGGATTTCAGCCATGTCGGATCCAATGTAAAACATTCCAAAATCAACAACTACTAATAAATTAAAAATTAATTAAAAAAACATTGTCCAGCGGACATAATTGTGAATCTAAACCATTCCCAGATCCCCTTGAACACACACAGAAAATTTCATCAAAATCGGGCCAGTCGTTTGAGAGAAGTTCAGTGACATACACACTCACAGAAGAATTATATATATAAATATTATAAATTGGATGGATGGATGTTTGAAGGTATCTCCAGAACGGTTGAATGGATCTCGATGAAATATGGCATACATATAGAACATAGTCTGGAAGAAAACTTAATCTAATACAATTATGTTTTTTTTAATTTCGCGCGGACAGAGTCGCGGGCGACAGCTAGTTGACCATAATGATCTGGCTCTGATCTCTTTATAGGTAATTGCTTGGAAATTATAGCTTTTTCTTTATTCCGATTTAAATGCCTGTTGATATGTCAGTTTTATTATATCTTTATCATTAGTTCGTATCCTCACCACTGCTATTAATCGCTAAGGTCAGCGCCAAAATGGCGGAAAACAAAGAGGCACAAACTGCTATGGCTTATAGCCTATGTATAAGTCAGTGGGTACCCTTATAACTTTGGATTTTCACTTCTACAAAAACATTTTTCATCTCTGTCATTTTCTTTTTAAAATCAGAGACAAAAATAGTTTAAAAATACATTAATTATTAAAAAAATATTTATTATAAAACTCGGAAATCTATAAAATTCATACATAACTTTACTTATAGATATATACAGCATTTAAATTGAAAAACACAAAACAAACACATTTTCTCAACAGTATCCAAATGGCACTTAATTTGGTTTAAAAACGAAGAATTTTCACTCGTTATAAAATTCTATTTTCATATTTAAAACATATAAAAAAGAGATGAACAATATAATAAAGCTTCTCGAACGATTAACACGTTGCCATTTAAACTGAAAACTACAAACGAATCATTAATAATTAATATATTGAAGAACACACAGAAGCAAATGAAGCTACTATTTTTACTAGTTTGATCTGAAATTAAAGCTTTTAAATAAATTCTGTAAGTAACCATAATAATGACGAGTTTAGTTCAATATTCTAAAGATTGTATAAATTTATTTATGTTATTAGTAACACTTTAAAGTATCAAATGCATCTGTTACAAATATTTTCAATACTGTATAAGTATTAAGCGTAAATAAAGTTGTGGTCGACTTCCAATTTCTTCAGCAGCCGTGTCGGCAGTTCGGACACGATGTTTGAAGGTATTTTATCTAAAAATAACACAAAAATGCTAAAGTTTATGATGAAAATAATCTGCAGCTATATTATTTCTATGCTTGATAAAATTATAAAGTAAAAAAAAAGATTACCAATTAACAGTAAACCAATCTGGCATGCCAAAGGTTTTCCTAAACCTCAATCCTTAGAGTTCATATGTGAGGAACAATTATTACTACTCGAAATACAAAAATCAAGTTAACTCAATCTACAATTCTCTCAAATATACAATTTGTGTATTATTGTATTGTGTACTTAATGTGTAATTGTGTACTTCCGTAATCGGTGAATTTGTGTAATTCTGTACTTGCGCAATGTGTGAAACTGGGTAATTGTGTACTTGCATAATCGGTGTAAATGTGTAATTGTTTCCCAGCTTAATCGGTGTAAATGTCTTATTATATATTATTATATACTAGCGTATTCGATGTAAATGTGTACTGACCATTACACCGATAGACGAGGTTGGACCAGATGATCATCTCCTGTGAGAAGCAGAAGACGCCGAGGCGGCCTCCCTTAAGCGTGAAGTCGTACACGTTGCCGGAGTCTGCCACCAGCCGGTTGTTCTCGTACACCTTGAGACGTATGAGACCGATCTTCGGCCGATGCAGCAGACGCCAGCGGTACGCGGTCTTCTCACGCCATCCGACATTACGAGGATCTTTCCAGAGAAGAGTCACCTGGATTTAAAGCAATTTCAAATTTAGAGTTCTTATTCATTATCTAAATTATAGATGGATGTAGAAATTCGTAAAAATACGTCACAGAAACGATTTTAAAACGGTTTTTATTTTTATTTTATACAAACAAATGTTATCTATTAAAGTTAGTAAGTTTTTATCTTACTTGATCAGGAGTAGACTCTGTATTCCAGAGTGCGTTCCTGAGGGTCTTGCCTGGTCCGGTCTTGGAGTTAACCAGCTTGAGCTGTATGCCGGGCTCCGCCACCGCACGGAACGGTGTCGTCTGCCAGTACGTCTGTGTGTTCTTCTTCCACATCACCACGTAGAAACGTTTGTTGTTCTGATATCTGTTAGTAAATACGTAATTTCACAACTTTGTATGATACATATGGACTGCTGGTAATAGTCGAAAAATTACTAAGGAAAGAAATTAAAGAGGATTTAGTACCACACACAGTCAGTTGGGCAATAAGGGAAGTCCTTACTTCAAGATTTATTATGAAAAGTCTACCAAAAGGGACTTAATTAAACATTAAACCGCCCTGAATTCTAGATTAAGCTCTTAAGGAAAGTTAAACTTAACAAAACTCACCCAAATATAAATCCAACATAATCATCATCTATTTGGGTATCAACAAACAGTGTTCCCTCAAAGTCGACACCACCGAAGTTGTCATAGCCGACAGCAAGGCCGGGGTCAGAGTTGAGGGTCTGGAGGATCTCCGCGCCATCATTGGCTATCACCCAGTTAGGATCCTGTTGTGATTCACCTTCTGGATCTAATCTGACTGTCATGTATTCTCTAAAATATATGGAATAAATTAAAAAGTATAACCAATAATTACACTAACTCACATACACGACGGGTGCAAAATTACCCAAAATATACAAAAATTTACACATTTACACTTTATAAATATTTTAACCCAATTGAGTCGTATGCGTTCTTTTTTGTTTTCTTCCT